ACAGCCCCGGTAAACCCTGATTGCAGATTTAAGGTTTAGGGTTTAGGGTTTGGGATTTTTGGCTTTGCTTGGCTGTACTGTAAGCTCGGCCCTCAAGCTTACGAAACATACTTCTGCAGCACTGCTGGCGAAGTTTTAAAAAAGTGCTCTCTAAATCGTAGACCCGAAACCAAACCATACACCCTAAACCCAAAGGGGCTCTTTTTAACGACGTCGCTAAAAGGACCCTCAACCCTATATCATACCTGTAGCACCAAGACCCAAAGAACTTTGCCCATGGCGACCTCGACAGTCGCCACGGGCTGCTTGACCTGCGCTTTCGGTGTACTACAGGGTTACTTTAAGGCTCCTTCAAGGGTTACTTTAAGGGATCCTTTCAGGGTTACTTTAAGGGTCCTTCAAGGGTTGCTTTAAGGGTTCCTTTAAGGGTTACTTTAAGGGTTCCTAGTGGATTTAGGGTGTTGGGTTTAGGGTTTAAGGGTTATGGGTTTAGGGTTAATGCAGGGGCGTTGATAATTAGAATGGGGTTCCCTTACAAAGAGTTCCTCTTAAAGAGGTCTATCAGGGCTACCATAACGGCCATTGTCATGATCTAATACAGGGGCCTTGTAATAATTTGAATAGGGTTTGGGGGTACGTAAAACTCAAACTAAATTAAGGCCCCTCTCTGGCAGCGAACAGTCTTGCTGTCTAGTGTTTTTTAGTCTCCACGCTTGAACGGGAGTCAACATGACTATTATTGCTGTTACTGTTATTATCAGTACTAATGTCGAGACTAGCTTTTTGGATCACTATCTCTGGAACAACATCGGCATCATCCTTATTCGGGTATAAATTGCAACAGTTCGCCCACAGGCCATACTTGTGACTGCTGCTGCTTATATACTACTACAGCTACTGCTGCCCGATGACTAGAATCACTCCTACCAGCACCATTACGACTGCCGCTGCGACTTGCAGCTAGAACAAGCACTGCCACTAGCATCGCAACTACGATTACGGAGACGAAGACAAGGAAGGCCATTACAGTTGCTGGAGTGGTACTGCTCCTATGATGGTATGCCGACGATGCTACGGATGAGGAAGAGGATCAAGATCAGGATAGATACTCTGATTTCGTGATGGTAATGATCTGACCATGGAGGTGGTGCTGGCGATAGTCTTCGTGATGCCTCGCCTCAATGATTCCACTTGTCTCCAGGGTCACCGAGACACTGATCTTGGGCGCGCCGGTGGTATTGTACCTCACTTCCACAGGCTCTCTGGGTGCAAGGCTTGAAGATCACAGTTCGATGCTGGAGGCTGTGCTTGCGCCTCTAGGATCCGGATCAAACATAGGGCGGGAAAAGATAGCTCTCATATCATATTCTAGGATAGCCCCGAGCATTTGTCAACAGACCTTGGGATGCGAGTGTTTAGCAAATCAACAATCGAACCAGAAACGAATGCTGAGGATTTGTGAACCGAGACCCTAAACCGCAAACCGAGACCATCAGACTGCTGTCAAGATGCTCCTTCCACTTGCCATCCAGCAACTCCTTGAGCCCACTCACGGTGTATTCGGAGACCAGAATGTCGTCCTGGCGTGTCCAGACGTCTACGTTCATTCCAGAACTCCATTCGCACGAATGCGGGTGTTGCCTGTGACCGTTGTCGCTCTTGCTTTGTTAGTCTTAGTCTTCTATTTTCCCTCCTGTTGATGTATTCGTGGTTATTTATATTTCAGCTGCTGCTGCCGCTGCTTTTGTTGCTGCTGAGGGCTTTTTGCTGCGGCCGAGTGCTGCAGGAGTCGCTGCTTATTCTACCGCTGGTTTCTTGAGCTTAGCGGCTCAACGTCAGGCTTCTTGTTATGATTGGAGGATGACTGAAATCAACTGAGGTCCCTGGGCTCAACATTGTAACACGAACGGAAATGGGGGTTTCGCGCTTTAGAATTTAAAAGCTTAGAAAATTCGCGGGTCAGGGTTTTGGATACTAAGATTGTATGTGATTTGGTTTTGGGTCGTGGCTTTTTGGGTCTCCAGGGTTTTAGGGTTGGCCACGCTGGGGTTTCTAGGGGTACATGCTCTGGAACTTTGGCTTTGGGGGGGGTTAGGGCTCACTCCACGCCTCGAAAAGCTTCACCATGAAATCCTCCTCCAAGTTGAAGGAGAGCTTCTTCTTGCCACCTCCGTCACATGCGGCATGTACCGATGCAGTCGATCGACGAGGAGAGGTACGATGAGGCAACATGTAGGAAGGTTGCGAAAGGAGGTAGGATGTTTAACGGACGACTGAGGCAAAGAGTCAGTGATTTCACCACCAAGTGCCACCCTATTATTTTGAGGATCAATTAAACCCTACTAGACGATGAAATGTGGTTTCGGAAAGACGCCCCAAAAACCCCATTCAACTCGCTACTAGGGCTAACTACCCAATGAGTTATAGAAGCACACGGTAGTAAGGAACCCTGACACAGTGGGTTTTTGGTGTTCAGGTACAGCCGGAGCCTGCAAAAGTCTTGGGCCAAGCCTAAGCCCTAAACAGCTAGCAATTCTACGCTGGATAGACTAGGTACTGCCCCCTTACAGTAAGAGTCTATAATAGGGTTACTATTAATAAGGTCTTACTATATCTATATTATGAATATTATTCAACTATTACTCAGTGGAGGCCGTACCCAATGGATAGACCAGAACAACTCTTCCACAGCTCAGTCTTGTTCTGGAGACACAGCTACTGTGGGACCTACTTAAAGGCCCGTGGGACTTAGTAAGTAAGGTTTAGGGTTCCCTTTTAAGGGTACTATGGGGTTCTATAGTAGGGCTCCCTTGAGGGCTTTAGGGTTCAGGGTTTACTTAAAGGCCCGTGGGACTTACTCAGTAAGCAAGGCTATAGGTAGGCTATATCTCGGATAACACCACTTAGGGGACTTATAACCCAACTAGGACCTACTTACTAAGTCCCATGAGCCTCTAAGTACCCTAAACTCCCCCTTATCGAACCCTTATAGATCCCTAAACCCTGAACCCTAAACCCTAAAGGATCCCTTAAAGGGGCCAATAAGGGTAGAGAGGGAAGCAAAGACCTCGTTTTGGGGATTCGTGCAACAAGTGTTAGTAGTATAGGGGCCTTGATAGTAAGAAAACCCTAAACCCTAAACCGTAGGGTTTCGGGGCCCATTGTACTATACTCATAATAAGGACCCCCCAAAAAATCAGTATTGTTAGTTATTTAAGCCCCTACTGTAGCGGTTCGAACAATTGTTGCAGTTGTAACGCCTTGGTGTCCCTGTAGAACTTTTCTCCCATGCATCCCCGACCCCTCTTCTCGCTTCTGAGGCCCTAGGCCACGGCTAAACCCTAAACCCTGAACCCTAAACCCCTCTTCCAACTACTGTTGATGATCTAAATCCTGCATTGCATTGCCTTAAGGATCCTAAACTATGGGAATTATGGTATATTCCTGATTATGGGTAATGCAGGATTCATATCATCAACTGTATCAGGGCCTACTGGGATTCAGGTCCTCTCGGCAAGAAATCCCGAAGCAAAAGCGCCTAGCGGCGCTCCGACAGGGTACCTGCAAGCTCAGCGACGGGGTTCCCATTTGCGATGCAAAGTTTTTCTTACAGGAGGTTACACTCTTTCCTCTACCCCCCCTGGAACCATAATAAAGACAATATTGTTAGTATTCTCTTGGGTTTTATATGAACAAAAAAACCTAAGGAGACTCTAGTTCCGTCGTCTAGAGGGTTAGTCATAGGGATCCTTAGGGGTGTAGGGGGAGGGGGGGGGTAGGGGGCCTTAAGGCCCATAATAAGGACTAATAAGGCCTATTTAAGGAAATATAGTCCCCTACACCCCTCCCCCCTACACCCTTAAGGATCCCTATGACGTCTAGAGGGTTAGACAGACCTCAAACTTCAGAGCTGACAAACGCAGCTAATTTCGTCATAAAACCCGAAACCCTGCCCCCAACCCTCACAACCGAACACCCTGTATCGTAAACAAACCTTAAAGGTCCCAGAGCACCTGATTCAGGAAATTGTGGAACCCTCATAAAGCCCTAAACCACAAACCCATACAAAGCCCTGAGGCCTCAAACCTATGAATAGGACCCAACATTAATCAAAGCACTCGGAACCCATGCTCGCTCAGGCAGCGTGCTTCCAGCCTACGACCGTGCTTGCTCGGCCGCCGAGGCTCAGACGGGGTGATCACATGAAAACATGGAAATCATGGAAATCACACGTGGTCTTAAATAATGTTCCGATGTCGCAATTATCTTCCAAGAAGCAAACACTTTTGAACCATGGATGCAATGGCTGGTGGCGAGTTCACCCAACGCCTGCGAGATCACTGCCCGTGGATGCTGGAGAGAGGATACGGGTTTGAAAGTGATGTGTTCCGCCGAGAGCGGTTCATTTACTTGTACGAGCACGGCCACTCCCTGCTCGCCCGGGCTCTGGAACGAGTTCAAAGCTCAGTATTGTCAATTGTATAGGTCAGCACAGGGATCCTGTGAAACAGAAAGCGGAAACATAAGCTGAATCCTCTCAGGAAGGCATTTCTACCGGCTGGTGCGACGGCATAGAGGAGGAGGAGAGCTTGGCCACGGCTCAGGGCCAAAACCTTTGCCTTTTGATTGCACTTTGTAGGCATTGCTCTAGTTGTGTCATTGGAGTCTGAAAGGTTAATTAGTTGGCCGCTTTGTCACCGACCCAGGTCTTCAGATGTGCAGCAGGGTGCTGCCTGGTGGGCTTGTATACATTCTGCAGCTCGATTCAATGCATTCTAATGTGTTCCTCATGAATGACTTATAATACATTCCAAGTGTCAGAAGAAAGCACCGAGGCCGTTCGGTCGATGTGCTACCGACGATGAGGTGAAGTCCGCGGCGGTGGCTCGCCTTGGATTTGTAGTGCCGGGATGTGCCTCTGCTGTTTCGTGTTGTGTTGTCTGCCGCCCTCGGCAATCCTTCGGTCACTGGGAATTGAGGCCTTCTTGCATCAAGTGGTGATGTTATGCAGCATCATAAAAGTCCGCCTCATTATCCAGACATCGATCGCATGTGGCCCTGTTCTCGAGAATAACAAGCTGATGCAGGACCGCTGTGAATAGTGGTTTGCACGTGCTCTGGTGAGCAGAAGTAAAACATAATTGAAGCAAGTGTTTCTCGTTTCGTCTTCACATGCAGGAGACAGCTGAGAACGGCCGCTTTGTGAAGGCATGTTTCCCCATGACGGCCTTCGGCTCCACCAAGCAGCATCTCGTTTGCATGGGCTGTTTTCTGAAGTTTGTGCAATTTGGGATTGTGCGCCGTTCAGAAGCCAAGGACCGTGGTGATGCTGTGGGGCAGCGATCGCTTGGTGATCAAAGGTTTGAAGCACCTGTCAGGGCGATTCTTGTCTGTGCTGCTTTGCCGCAATCTAGGTCGCTTCATGGGTCACTGCTATGTCCTTTGCCTGCAGTTTTATTAATTGACCCCAGGTTTCGGTCGATGACAAACAGGATTGACCGCGGCTTCGTGAAGCCGGCTCGGGAAAGATTTGATGAAGAGGAAAGGACGGCGACTTTTATTTACGCTGCCACTCGACCCCATTCTGTGATCTGTGCTTGTCTGGGTGCAGTGATTTCGGCTTCAGTCTTTAGGTAACAGATATCACTCTGCTCCGACACCGTCGGAGTGTTGACTTTCTGGTGGCACTTGATCTTGGCCGATTTCTCAACAGCCTCGCCAAAGATCTGCTGCAACAGGCCGCATGTAGATGCACGTTCACACGAAGCTTTTAGTTTGTACGCCTCATGCAAGTAACGGAATAGTTTGTGTTGGCCAATCCTGATACGCAGCTCTATCCTGAGGACCTCGATGAAGTTTTCGTGAGAGTGCCCCACGATGCCGATGTGAATCTTCGTGGGAAACGGAACGATTTGATCTTTCAGGCGAGGTTCGTCTTTCTCATACTCTCATGTTACATGATTCGGTGTATCGTGCGGCCTCAGTACAATGGCCCAATCCCATCTGTGAAGGCCGAAGAGTTCCATATTACCCGCCCGCTCCCCGCCGCGACCGCGGCGACTCCGACGATTCCGGTTCTACGGCCGCATGTAGTAATGTCTTTTACATTCAGGTGGCTTCGAAACTTTGAGTTTCCCTGGCTCGTTGTCGCTTTGGTTTCTGGAGCAGGTGCTTGCTTGTGCTCACAGATCGTTAGGTGTTAGTAGAGTTTTCTTTGTTTGCTGAGGCCGCGATGGTAACCACGGCAATCAATGCAGCAGACGAGGACTGCCCTTTGACGGCATCTGGTGTGGTAAGCAGGCAAACAAAAATTCAGATTCCGTCGACAATTCAGGGAGTGTAACTTCGGGTTCTAGCAGGTAGACACGCTGCCACAATGTTACACCGTTTTGGCTTATTGCCTGGAAGGAATGGGAGATCTTGCAAGGCTGAGCCGATTTCAGCCGCTCGGTTCTCGATTGTTGCTTGAGAGATAGAATGCAAACTGATACACATGGCTGTCTGTCCATATATACACACACGCACACACCATTTTCCAAATGCTGCGGCTTCACATCTCAGGTGCTGTTGGCACTGCCAACAGGCTCTGCGATCTCGGCGATCTACGATTTTGACAGTTTTGCGAATCGAGGCTGCCTGGCTAGAGTCATTCGAACCACACACAACGACCGTAGCTGGAATTGCAACTTCCTTGCTGAGCAAATGAGGCGGGTCTGTGGCTAATGGGCAGCTACTGACCGAGACTCGGCCCTAGACGGTTCACAAATCCTACAGCAACAATCAAGCCTATTTCTGACGGCTCTTGTGTTGCAGTGGAATCCAAGGACCGATAAATTCAATGCACATGACGTGGGCGACTGCAGCTCAACCATATCATTATGCGAAACCAGCTTATTGCTCTGATACCTTATCCCAGCTAGCAGAGCCGTGTCGGCAGTCAGTGGCAGCGAGCCGCTTGGTGCACAATCCTTGCTTGCTCCGGGGGGCAAAATGAAGGAGTCGGGCCGACTTTTGACAATCGTCTGATTCTTTCATCAACAGACTGAGGTTTCGAGTCTGAAGCAGTAATGTCCAGGTTTATCACGGGCAGTTGTTTTCCATCCTCAAGATTAGGGGTCCGCTTGTGCAGCAGAGCCTCGGCAGCAGCATGGCCAAAAAATCGCTGGAGACCTCGTCGAAGACCATCAAGAGGACAGTTGGTTCTGGGGTATTCTTTAATGGTTGGATCTTGGTGCACTCTAGGGACAAAGTGGCTTGGGAAACGGAGCCGCTAAACTTGAATGAACCGGAACCACTTTGTCACCTCTGCCTGATTTTCCTAGCATCCAAGATTAGTTTTATTCCCCGGGCCCGTAATCTATCGAACAACACGACGGCTATTTTGGTTATTTGGGGTTCCCACAACTAAGCCAAACCGCCCGAGAAGAAGCAAGGGATTCGCTGCCGTAGTCGTAGTAGTAGTAGTAGTAGTAGTAGTAGTAGTAGTAGTAGTAGTAGTAGTAGCCGCAGCAGTAGTGGTACTACTTCTACCAGTAGTAGCAGAAGTAGCAGAAGTAAGTAGTAGTGGCAGCAGGACCAGAACAAGCAGTGGCAGCAGCAGTCGCCATCGCAGCATCAGTAGTAGTAGTAGTAGTAGTAGTAGTAGTAGTAGTAGCAGCAGTACTAGTAATAGCAGTGTATTAGCAGCAGTAGCAGGACTGGCACTAGGACGTAGGACCAGGAGTAGTACTAGTCGTCGTCGCAGTGGTCGTGGTCCCACTGTTGTGGCTGCTGCTCGTGGTCCACATCCTGCTCCTACTCTGACTCCTACTTTTTTACAGCTCGAAGACCACGATGATTGCTGCGACTACCAGTGCACCGAGCGCCACCGCCACCATGCCTGGTAATACCACTGCTGCTACTGCCACTACGAGGACTAGCAATACTAACTCTGACACCAGACCGCGGCGATTGTCACTACTAATACAACTAGTACTACTACTATTACTACTGGCACCACTACGACTTTACTATTGCTATCCCCCTTCCAACCACCACTACTTCTGTTACTACTAGTACTGCTACTACTAGTACTAGTACTAGTACTAGTACTAGTACTAGTACTAGTACCAGTACTAGTACTAGTACTACTACCACTACCACTACCACTACCACTACCACTACCACTACTACCACTACTAGTACTACTACTACTACTACTACTACTACTACTACTACTACTACTACTACTACTACTACTACTTCTGCTGCTACTTCTGCGACGACGACTCGACGACTGCTGCTGCTGCGACTACTACTACTGCTACTACTACTTCCAGAACTAGTAACTGGAATCAGAATCACTGAGTGGTTGTCGCCGCTTTCTGTGTTGTTAGTAGAATTCCTATATAGTTCAGAACGATTAATGTGCATTGTGTGTTTTGGAGGTTCCTTCCCGAGTGATTGGCGACGCTTCTTAATCTGGGTCTCTCTTCACCTGGAACCTAAGTCTTAAATTAAGAACCTTTATTTGGGATGCTGGCTGCTTAGTGTAGCCCCTGCTTCATCCGGGCAGGACTCTCAGTGCGAGGTCTTTGGCCTCCGACAATGCTGAGCATGACGAGGAGAAGCCGGATGCAAAGAGATTTCTCATGTCGACGGCCAAGCGATCTTTGGACGAGGCTTTCGGAAGCTCGGTTTCATTAGTATGACTCCGAGATGCACATAGATACATCCAGAAACCATTTGCAACCCGCCCTGCTTACTTCAGCCTCCGTGCGACAAAGAGACACAGCCACCGTTGCATTGCTCCTGCCCCAGGACTGGGTGGCTCGGAGAAGGCCATGGGCAGCGACAGCAAAAAGAAGGACAAGAAGAAGAAGGACAAAAAGAAGAAGGACAAAAAGAAGAAGAGGTCTAGCAACTAGTGATGTGTCGCAGCAGGCCTTGGATGATTCGGCGGCAACTTTTGGGCTCGCAAAGAAGGATATGCTGAGGACCATGGACTACACGGTGGTATCCGATCTCGAAGCCAACAAGATAGCTTTTGTTCTGTCATCAGTGACCCCGGCTATGATTGCCAACGATCTGTTTGAGCTAGGAGGAGAGCTGGCTACCTGTCTAATTAATACGACCTGGTTTGTGCTTCCTTTTCCTCATGAGAACTTTATCTTGGCCTGACATTCTGAGGAGTCGCTCCTTCGCGATCGGGCTGTGCAAGCCAGGAAGAACCGTGCCAAGACCGAGCACAACGAAGCGATGTTTCAGGTGCTTAGGGTGTGCTTGTGTAGTCTTTGGGGTGTTGCAATTGTGTGATGGGGGAAGTCCTGCTGCTTAGACCGGAGGTTTCACATCCTTTAAATAGAAGCTTGGGCTGGTGTTCTTTTGTTTGTAAATGGTAGGACTCACACAAATTAAGAGTAAGCCCGCAGGCCAGGGGGTGTCCTGGATTTGTGGGTTTCCCTCGACAACAAGCAATCAATGAAGCCGTCAGCCCGGGAAGTCGGAATTAACCTCAATTAACCTGACACAGACCTATGTGCAGTAGTGAGACCACAAACCTGGAACTTCGTCTGCTTTTGTGAACCGAGCTTAGAGTTAAGCCCTAATCCCCCAAATCACCGGAACTAAACGCCTTCCAGATGAAGACGGCTGCCACCGTGTGGAAGCGCAGAATGGCTGACCTCGTCCTCCATAGTGCCTTGGCTGGCAATACTGATTCTGATACTCGACAGAACTTTGAGGATTGTTTGGCAACCTTTCATCAGCCAGCTGCAGGCTTTGCACAAATCCCCCAAACCCCTAACTAAAACAATCAAGGTTCTTGTCCCCAAACCCCCAAAGGTATACATACTGCAATTACTAGCTAGGAACCCGTGCCTTGCAGGTGGCCTGCGGAGCCCAGGAGAAAACCGTGATAGTACACTACTACTATTACTAGTACTACTACGACTGCTACCACCACTAGTACTACTAGTACTACTAGTACTACTACTACTACTACTACTACTACTACTACTACTACTACTACTACTACTACTACTACTACTCCTGCTGCTGCTGCTGCTACTACTGCTACTATTCCTCCTGCTACTACCACTACTACTACGACTACTACTGCTACTACTGCTACTACTACTACTACTACTACGACTACTACTACGACTACGACTACGACTACGACTACTTACTACTACTACTACTACTATTACTACTACCACCACTACTTCTACTACTACTACTACTACGACTACTACTACTACTACTACTACTACTACTACTACTACTACTACTACTACTACTACTACTACTGCCATCACTACTACTACTACTACTATTATTTCTTGTTCTACTTCTTCTTGTGCTACTACTACTACTACTACAACTACTAATACTACTACTACTACTACTACTACTACTACTGCTACTACTACCATTACTACTACTACTACTACTACTACAACAACAACTACTACTACTACTACTACTACTACTACTACTACTCCTACTACTACTACTACTACTACTACTACTACTACTACTACTACTACTACTACTACTACTACTACTACTACTACTCAGATTGTACACCCTACACCCAAAGCCTCCTGTTACACTAGGGCCGGTTCCCTAGGTCCAAAACACTTGCATTTGCCACGGGACGGGGTCAAGGCATAGCCTCAGCTTGAGCTTCTCCAGCCCGGGATGCTTCACAATCGATGCTCTGGGTTTAGGGTTCACGGGCTTTGTGTTATTAATTAAATCATAGTTACTTGTTATGAATGTTAGATCAAAAGACGGAAATGGCTCTCAACTGGTTCTGGCCGGCAGATGTTTGTACTTTGTACTAATTACTAACTAAACCCCCATGGCAATCTTCCTAGGCTAGGATCGCCCGCAACAATCGTCCTAGGCTAGGATCCCGGAATCATCCCCAATCCTGAAACCGTCGCCCTCGTGTTCCTAGTTACTGGGCGGCCACAGACGTCGGTGCGGCTCTGTGCGGCCAAGACCCTCAGGGACTGCACCCCAGTGTTGAGGAACCTGCACAGGAAGCACATGAGGAGCTTCAGCCAACATTAGTTTGCAATGTTTACGCATGCTGTCTACGATGCATTCAGTGTCTTCTTCTTTTTGCGACACAAGAATCAGCCTTGTCTCAGGAAGGCCGACAAGTCTGAATGGTCGAGAAAGCTGGATGATATATTGAAGGAGCACCGGAAGGTGCTCTTGTCTTATTCGTTTGGGATTTCAGTTCTGTTGTTTAGATTCATCAGGACCACAGGCACGAGGCTTGTTCCATGTCTGCCACAGACAAAGGCAGCTACGGAAGACCTCAAGAAGACGATCAAGGCGAGCAGCAAAGAGTCCAAAGACAGCAAAGGGTCCAAAGACGGCAAAGACCCCAGAGACAAGCATGAGGCGGGGAAGAAGAAGAGGAAGCCAGCTCCCAAGGAGTGTCCTGGCTCCGAGAATGATGATGATGATGATGCAAAGGAGGAGGAGGAGGAGGAGGACGACACGGGAAGCCCGACGGGGGCTCCCTATATGGATTCCGCCTCGGAGCCAGAGCCGGGGCCAGAAGAGGATGATGAAAACGAGGATGCTGATATTTTCCAAGGCGACTTCAAGCCGGCCGCCCCGACTGCCACGACTACATCCGGCAGTCTGGAGAAGCTGCCGGCCAAGTTCAAGCATGTTTTGGAGCGATTCGATTCTGGGATTTTAGACTCCCTGCCGAAGGAGCTCTCGCAGTGTCTCGGTTTGCGTTTTGATTTGAACAATCATTCCGATGCATCCTGCAGTCTAGAGGGACAGTGCCTCTAAGGACGGATCTTGGCCACTGGATCCTTGTTCTCGACAAGGAATGCCTACACAAGCCGGAGCACTTCCAGCTCGGACTGGAAGGCAGGTTTTCTCGTTCTACAATGTAGAACCCTCCCTTATTTCGTTGTGATTGATCTCCGTTTCAAGCAGCAGGACCGTTATCCACCCACATCTCGGCCGGCAAGTCGCAGCTCATGAAGATGTCTCTGCGGGCCCGGGGAAGTTTCGATTCTTGGGCCCACTCTATGCCAGGTGTATCTGCTGCGACATTCGCTCTCTGTCTGCATTGTTCGGGTCACTCGTAAAGGGACGATAATAAACCGGTTCAGTTGATTCCTGCTCCACGATCCTAGGTGATGTCGACGCCGACACGCCGCACACCTGCTGCTGAGAAGGGCAGCTGAGATGCCTGCTCTATGTGTGGAGGCCCTACATTACTCGAAGTTCTAGGCCAGACTGTCCGAAGGTAGCTATTTGCGGGAAGGCCGCCTCACACAGGCAGAAGTATCGTCGATTTTGGACAATGTAGCCCCGAGGATCTGCTGTGCTTGTGTGTACAAACGTTTAATCGTGTTCCGAATCACGAATGGATGCGGTGGAGTTTAGCAGTCGGCAGCGAAACCACTTCTCTCTCTCTCTCTCTCTCTCTCTCTCTCTCTCTCTCTCTCTCTCTCTCTCGGTGTGTCTGCTTCGTTCAGCTCACTGAATGACAGAAGCATGGACCTGGCCACTTGCAGTGTTTCTGAGATTTTGAGATTGGATCTCGGGTTGTGTGGATTGACCATGCATGTCAGCTGATGGCTCCTTTCGTGCAGCACGAGACACGAATGAAGGAAGTTCCGTTACACAATCGTCTGCTGCAGGGTACATAGTCACATAGTGTAGTCTAGTCCTTGACTGCTACATTTAGACTAGGCCAGACTAGACTAGTAGACTAAATTGAATTAACCTTGGTGCTAGTGGCTAAGCCCTGAACCCCCATAGCCAGACACTCCTTAATTTATTTAAACAATTGAATTTAATTCTCTCCTAATGCCAATATCACCATATCCTGTTATATCCTCCCCTATGAATCAACCTTACTGATTCAAAGGAGCTGCCATCTATGGCAGAGGCCGTCCCGAACTCCCAACGCAATATTGCCAAACTCGCAACCCAAAGTACTTCGGTCGCCGGTCGCTTAAAAACACAACGACACTGGAAGCCTCACATAAACTATCCCATTCTAGCCTTGGTTTCGCCCGCGGTGCCCAGCTGGCCCGGCTGCTCCTCGGCTGCAATTTCGACAGGGACGAAAGGGAAGGGCTAGGGTCGTCCGTGTGCCCGGACTCGGGATTTTCAGGAGGGGCCTGGCCCAGGGCCGGTCCCAGGGGATTGTTGCAAAGAGAGAATAGAAGGCAAAGTCGTTGTCCTTTCCACAATTACAGTATTATCCTACAGCAACAGTGCTGCTGGTGCAGGAGCATGCCCGCTCGGATGCGAACGTGCTCGCTCAGGCCTACGTGCTCACCCGCATAGCGACGTGCTCGCTCATTCGACAGCATGCTCCCTGAGATGAAACAAATCGCGGCGAGAAACGCACGCGGAGAAAAAAATCTGAGCGAGCACGATGTTCTACTAACTCCCAGCAAAGGCCAATAACTCCACCCCTCTCGATGAATATTGCGTGCTCGCTCGAAAACCCAATTGTTAAAAGAATGCGTGCTCGCTCGATTTTTATTTTCGCGAGGTGTGGCGCGGCGCGGTGCACGACGCCGTGGGTCGCCCGCTCCGCGGAAACCGCGGTCTCACTGACTGAGGTGATTCCTTGGCTCAATTATGGCTGCCAGCCAATGGATACTGCAGAGACTCAAGCAGCTCTCAGAGCCGGGACCTGAGCAAGCACCGTGCTCGCTCGTTGCCGAACACACAACATCCGCTACCTCGCGACCCCGTTGTCCCAGGTGCAACCAAGACCAGCGGCCAGAGCTGCTGAAGCGGATGCACAAGAAATTGGAGCTTATTGATTCTCTTATTCAAGATGGGAAGCCGGTCGGCGAGATCGAGGTAGACCCATCTTCTTGGGAGGATTGCTTGCACACTCTAGCATGTTCCTCCTGTTGTGCAAAAGCACCTTGCAAGAAACGACATAGCCAGAAAGAACACAAGAGACAGAGAGATATAGAAATAGACAGAGAAGGGGAGAGACAGAGGAAGAAAGATAGATAGAGTTCTTGCAATCCACACGATATACCACTCGAGTTCTGTGGCCATCGGCTTAATGCATCTTTCTATCTGACTTCCTACATTATTCCAAATTGCCTTTCTTCGCAAGTCTCAACTGACGATGTAAAGCAGCCAAGTCTGCAGCCGACACACACACACACACACACACACACACACACACACACACACACACACACACACACACACACACACACCTCCCGAATCCCAGTGCCCAGAAACCGTACAATCCTATGTGCTTCAGGGTTTTGGGCCAGTTTAGGGTTCAGGGGATCTGGGTTTTGGCAATTAATTCATGAATTATCGAACGGGGTTTCAATCACCGAGTGCGGCCTGGGTCGGACGTGCCCAAGCCAAAATCCCAACTCCCGCCCAAGCTTTGAAGAAGCCAAAACACAAAGTCAAGCCCGAAGCTCCTATTTTCTCCTTCTCTGTCTCTGTGTCTCCCCCTCTCTGTCTTGTTGTATCGCATGTTCGAAACCAAACGAATGAGCCCCATTCTCTCCCCCTGTCGTCTCTCGTTTCTTGTTCCCTCTCTCTCTCTCTCTCCCCTCACTCCCATCTCTCCCCCTCTCCCTCGTCTCCCTCTCAGTCTCCCTCTCCCTTTCCCGCCCACTTCGCTTTTTCTCTTTCTGGCTCTCTCTCTCTCTCTCTCTCTCTCTCTCTGTCTCACTCTTTCTCTCTCTCTCTCTCTCCCCTTCTTTCTCCCTCCCTTTCTATCAGTTTTCTGCCGTTTTGGAATGCGAATTCCTGAACATCCGCCCCCACCCCCTCGCATCTTCCAGCTCCTGCTCCCGCTCTCGCTCCCTCTCCCTCTCGCCCTCTCACTCGCTCCCTCTCTCTCTCTCTCTCTTGCTTTCTCTCTCTCGCTCTCGCTCTCAATTGCTTTCTCTCTTCTCTCTCTAGCTCTTTCTTTCTCGCTTTCTCTTTCTCTCTCTCTCTCTCTCTCTCTCGCTCTCTCTTTCTTTCTCTCTCATTCTCGCTCTCTTTGTTTCGCCATTCCCCTTTCTCTCAGCCACCCAGAAGTTTCAGCAAGGACGCCCTAGCGATCCATCGACAAGCAGCTGCAAGGCAGCTTCTGCCGCTGCGGCCGAGAATTTTTCAGGAGCCTGAAGTCCAAGAGGCAGCGGCAATAGAAGATGCGACGAGCTCGGAGACAGCAAGCCCTGGAGTCCAGTACACCGACACCGAGATCCTGTACCTCAGATCAGAAACACAGCAAGCAAAAGGAGTCCTGCAAGTGCACAAGGCACGGCTACCCGCTTCTGAATGTTGACTTGATGCAGTGCAATTGACTTTCTCGTGTTAGCTTTCCTCCCTAGGTGCCCGAGGAGTGCATTATCAATGGATACCGGTTTCTGCTGAGAGCCGAAGAGATCTGGAGTCTGACAAAAAGAGCCCAGCAGTTTACTAATTGGTATACGAAGCTGCTACTCAGTTGCACTCTTCAGCCGTAGCAGCTTGTGAATGTCAGCTTGCCGCCAAGCAGAATCTCAGGCAGGATGGCCTTGGGCTGGACGTGGCAGATGCATGGAAGATAGATGTGAATCAGCACATGGTTCGCAAGGCCACGTACAAAGGAAACGCAGCGAGGAACAATGCAAAGCTATTGAAAATCCCGTTCGACGGCCTGACGCTTCCAGGAGCCCTCTTTACTGCTTCCAGAATGCACGAAGGTTTGCGGTAATTATTGGGGCAGAATCATGCTCGGAGGCTGTGTGCGGACTGACCGAGGTTTGCTATGTTCTTCAAAGCAGGGGGTGCAAGCCACCCATCCAAAAGTAAAAGGGAGCCCTGGACACCCTCGTGGCTTTGCTTCCTCCGTGCATCACCGAGCAGCTCACCATTCCCTTGATGCCGAACAACGAGAGCTGCCCCTTGCCTCCTTAGCTGTCTTGTGGTGGTTGGATGCATCGATTAACCGAGGCAGTTTGAAGATTTCTCGGGGATGTGTGAGTCTGGAGAGCTGGCGAAGCTTCCTAGAGCATGCTGATATGGTGCAGAGGCTTGGGTTCGTCGTCTGCTCCAATGCAACACACCTGTGCCCTCAAATCTCACGGCTTCTGGTGCAGGTGGCGAACCTGTAGACTCCTGGCGAAGGAGGAGCAAAACATTGATACAGGTTCGGGGTTTCCGACCAATTCCCCGACTTCTAACATGTAGTTATTGTGCAATTATCTGTGGGCACATCCCTGGTCAGGCATCGGTGTGGCCGTCGCCGCTTGGTTCATTCTTCGTGTACCCAGCCAGGAGACATTTCAGGACAACGTCGAAAATCCCAATAATAATAAATAATAATAACAGCAATAATAATAATAAAATGAATAATAAATCCCGAATTAGTTAAGAACCCTAGATCCTGAACCCCGGAGTCCTAATAATACGTTCGCAACGCAAAGCATAAGAAAAGCATGCTGGTCCCACCTCTGAGTGGGTTGGTCACTACCTTTGGCTAGCCTGCACATCAAGCACAATTTCTAATTAATAGTAGCAGCAGCCAGCAGTAGGAGTAGTAGTAGTAGTACTAGCAGCAGTAGTAGTAGTAGTAGTAGTAGTAGTAGTAGTAGTAGTAGTAGTAGTAGTAGTAGTAGTAGTAGTAGTAGTAGTAGTAGTAGTAGTAGTAGTAGTAGTAGTAGTAGTAGTAATAGTAGTCGTAGTAGTACAATATCCAAACATTGCCTGGTTTTTAAATTATGGTTGATTAAGGGTACGGTAGTAATTATACACCGTACTTCACCTCCGTGGCTGGCAATTGGAATTGCTTAGTTCTGAGCCCTAATGCCTGCTAAGTGTGATGAGTTAGCTACAATTTAACTAGTCGTATTGGCACGAACTTATTGGTGTATTATATATTTTATATTAATTGCTTGATTCATACAACTAATATACTAAATCGGCGCCAATACCGTCAATGTACACACCCAAATAATAACCCTCTTAGGCCCTATCAATCATATTCTCTGGCTTACTTCTGCAGGACCAAACCTGCTGGAGCCGGGTGCAAAGGAGATTGATTCATCTGCTGTGCCAGGCAGCAGAGCGGGCACTGCCAGCGGTCGTGACCAACCAGATGCCTCCGCTGCAAGCCGATTTCAAGTTCCATCCAGCAACGAAGACGCTTGGCACTACTGCTGATCAGGTCCTTGCATGGTGTTGGTTCCTGCAGTGTATCCACCCCTCTCGCCCGACCCCAGCCTCACGCAGGGATGGCCGCAAGCTCCGTGGCGATTGCAAACCTCGGGCCGAGCTTGCAATTGACAGATTTATCTCCCGAGGGGGAGGGTTCTGCTCCTCCGAGATGGACACGTCTTTGAAAGCTTTGGGCCTGGAGTCTCTGTGCCCGAACAATTACTGGAGGACCTTGCTCGAATACTAATATCATAAACTGGCCCATGGACCCAGGTCTGCTGAGCCTTGCTACTGCACTGTGCAGGACAACCTCGGACTTTATGTGTAGATACACGCGGAAGACGGAAGTGACCATCAAAGAGGCAGGTTCACACAGAGAGATGCTCGGCCCCCGACTGCAGCTGCTTCGCCCACAGGCTCTCGCGAAGATGACGATGAAATCTTTGGGAGTCCTTTGTGACTCATCCCCCATGGCCAAGATGGATGCTTCCCGGCTTAGATTTAATTGTGTTTCATTCTCACACACACACACACGAAGCCAAAAGAACTATCAGGTTTGGCTACCGCTCCTCTCCGTGCAGGGGGTGCTCTCAGTCGGAACCCTTCAACGGCTGTCCACTCTTCTTCCCAGCACGGCCACGGCCGAAGAGAAACAACAAGTGGCTGCAATGGTTGCAGACTCCCGAAGCAGCACCATCATGGCCGATCCAAACAAGAAGGCTGAACTCAAAAAGAAGCTGCAGCTCCGCCTAATATGTGCTATGATTTTGGCTATGATGGGTTTTCTTAATCTGATCACGACCGCGAGTTACAACCGAGGCCCAAGGCGCTGAGCGCCATCAAACAGGATCGTCTATCCAGCAGGCAAGAGCTGAAGGCTCTCATGAACATCCTGAGCCACGTTGGCATTTCGATGGAGGATTGCTGGCCACGTCACCCGCTCGTTGCAGCAAACCCGGAGAGGGAAAGCCGTATTCTGCACAAGGTCGGAGCCCTCTCGTTGGCCTATATCTTTGACCGCGAAAGTGGAACGTGCAGATGGGATACTCCCATGAGCACTGACCACTTGAGACTGGTCATTTGTCCAGACCAAGGGGGCCCCATGTTCTGCTGCTACCAATACTTGGCCCACAATGGGGCGAGTGTGGCACTGGTGAGAGACGAGCTGCTACTTGTTTGCATGAGTTTGCATGAACTTAGCGAAGCAGTGAACTTCCAGGTTGTGCCAACCCACCCGAACTTAGGCACAAGCTGCACGCACACCAGGGCAGAGTCACATCCTGTTCCCCAGCAGTCAAGAGAGCTTTAGCTGCAATCTTAGAGGGTCGTTGTTTCAATTCTGCTGGCCGTGCTAGCCAACATTGTGAAAACAAGGAATGACCACTTTGTGCGGCTGGCTCTTCAGGGCCAAAAAGTCGCCCTGGAATACCTCTGGATTTGGTTGCACCCTCGCCGAGGCTGGAACCAGGTATCTAGAGATCGCAACTTGGCTGCTGCCTGTGCTGCTTCATGCGACATTTGAAAGTTTGCGGCATTTTTTATGCAAACCCACACAAACAAAGGCTCGCCCCGACGATGTTCTCATGGACATGTTCCAGCGGGACATCCTCAAAGAGATGCTTGTCTGGTCTTTTAGTCTTTAGTGCTCGCTGCTGCCCTCGTTTTGTCTGCCTAACATACTGTCGGCCCAGGAACGATCTGGAGGAGACGGCAGACAGCAAGCTGAACTTCACGCGGGTGATGGAGATCCTGGGCAAAACTTGCAAGTAATTTGGATGCACGGCGACTAGCAGCTCTATTGCCTGCCACGCACAGACTTTCAATGCTTTAGCCCGGTAGTTTCTCCTGGTCACTTGCCATGCACAGACTGCTCAAGTTCCCTGCAAGGTATAATTCCGAGACCTTCTCATGGTCCAGATGGTGCTCGTTCTCGCACACAGCCAAGCGATTTCAGATGAGTGCAACCTTGTTACTTATCCTGTGGTCGGCTATGGAGGCCTCCCTGGAACGCTCATGTTTCGATCACTCGTGCTAGTGCTGCTGAACTTGAAATAAGCATAGGTACTTACATCAGGTGACACGATCTCGCCAGGTCGGCAAGAATCCTTTCAAGATCTTGGACGACGAAGGGCCCCAGCAGAACCAAAAGTCCTACGACAAAACAGTTGACCTCTGTGTGAAGGCCTTCTTGCTTCGAGGCACCAGTCTGGAAACCTATCCAATCGCCCAAACTGAACCCTGCAGGCCCTGACCAACGAGCTGAGCTTCGGCATCTTCCGTGTGGCCCGCAACATGCTGGAGCCCTTCCGGGAGCTGTGTTTGGAACTTGTGGCTTGGCTGCAGCTTGGCTTGTGTGTCCCTATGTAGAAACGCAGAACTATTGAATCAGAGAAATGCATCTCATGCCTGCAACTAAGCAAGAAAAGACGAACACCATGAAAGCCCACCACGACCTCACTTTGGACATGAACGGCAACAGCCTCGAGACGAAACTTAGTCGTTTGGCCACTACGGCCTTGAGCAGCGGCAGCCTGGGAGTGCTTCCAGATGTCGCCGCCCCGCATGGATCGCAGGCTCGCTTGGACCGAGTCTAGTCAAGAGAGTCTAGGTAGTTAGATATTCAATGCCATATGTCAGTGACTACCAAACCCCGATTTGTTGGCTGTACATTCCATCAAAATAGTTCAATGCCATGAACCAATGGTAGAAAGGTTGGTTGCAAGCTCTTCCCACAGAACGTTGCATCTGTGCCTCGTGTGTGCCCGGCATCCAAAGAATGACGAAAGCTGTTTTGTGCCAGAATCAAAAGCATCAGCCACCCCAAATAGAAGTATCCAAAACCACGCACCCCTTCTGGAACTTTGCTCTAGGCCCTCAAAGCTGCCTGCAGAAACCAGTTAGCCGCACCAAGCAGAGAGCAACAAAACGCAGCACACGCAGCACGCATCAGCATCAACACTGCATCCTTGGAATTTGATGATACGCATGTGCTCTTTGTCCCTTGGGAGGTCATCAGACTAAAGTTTCGAAGGGGCATCACCCACGAAGACCTCCTGAGGGAATCTTTTGGCCTCTACCTTTCGACTGTTCACGAGTTGCTGCAGTACACGTTGTACCTGCGGAGCAGCCCTCACTGTGCAGCGGGTCTCATTTCCGAGAAGGACGCAGACAACGGCAGCATCAAGGAAGGCATCCTCACGAGAATGAAAGATGAATGGCAAACCGTGCTGGAGATGGAAGCGAAGCCGGCATCCGCTGTCATTTTGACAGCCAGCTGCCACCACACGAGATACCAGCATTACCGTGAGATCATGACTTGCCTGGAAAAGCACGAGTTTCGCATGACGGCCGAGTGCAAGGACATGGTGAGTGCCTGGAACCCGGCATTCTGCCAGAGTGCCTCCCTGGAGAGCATGTTTGGGGATATGAGTGACGCCGTCAAGAGATCAGGGCGATCGGACTGTGGAGGCCTGGCAAGCTTGCATGCGGTTGGGGTGCGAAGCTTGATGCACCGTGTGTGCCGGAAACCGGAAAGCCCGAAGCCTGTGGAACTGGTGAAGGAGGATTGGGTTGGAGTTGAGGCTCCAGGGATCAAACCCAAAGTTTGGTCCCCAACCAGTGCTCCAGTTTGTTCCTTGGCATGAATACATGATCGAAGCAAGGAATCATTCATGAGGACTAAGCCTCAGCAGCCGGGCCACTCACGTTGAGAGATTCTGCTTTATCTGAGGCAAGGAGATCAACCCGGAGGGCATCTTGAAGACCTTTCCCAGTACCTCTGCTTTCTTCCACAACCACCATTGCCTGAACACGATGCAGGGTTTCGTCTCGGCCCACAAGCCACAAGGTAGCACGTATTCGGAGTGGCCCTGTCGTGACCCTTTTGTTTGTATTTTTTGTTTTGCTCGAACCTGAGGCAAGGCAAGGACCCCGCTCAGGAGGCATCGGAGTTTTGGGTTCCGGGATGTTTCCAGATGGGAACTTTGTTCAAGTACCAGGGCACCTTTTATGTTTGCACCGGGAAGACGCCGGCCGTTCTGTACGTTGCCCAGATGAATTATCCCTTGCAAACATGGCATTTGCTTTAAATCGTGCAAGCTGAATCATCTCAGGCTGTGGGGCTGAAGGAGCTCCCCTACAAGTTCGCGGGTGCACTGCCGGAGCAGCAGGAGGATGAAACGCGAGTTCCCTGCAAGCAGCAGGCGGACTTTTGGGACCCGCTGGGCCAGGGGGTGTCCACTCCTGCTCTCGCCTTGGATGTCGGCAGGCGATTCTGGGAAATCCTGGGCTAGTGGTTGCAGAGATTGAGCAATAGTTGGAAAGTGCTTCCAAGTTTTACATTCGCAGGTGCCTGATCAAGCAGCTCCGCTTTGGCTACGACGATGTTGCTTGGCATCAACTACTTTGTTCCACCGGCCTAGCTCACCTGTGCATTGCTATGTTGCATGGCGATTCCAGGTAGTCTTGTGTGGCTACAGCTTGCATGTCTGCGAGAAGGCCTTAGAGGAAAAGTCTGGATCCTGTATCTTGATGAGAAGAGGGGCCACGGAATACTCCTTGCTGTGCTATTTAGTGCAAACGCAGCAAATCTTGCAGACCGCCAGTGCATCCTTGAGCGAGCTGCTGATGAGACACGATGTCCAGATGGCGAAGAGCTCGACAAAAAATCAGAAAGTCAGAAGATTGCTGATGCTTCCATCTGTGACGGACGCATGTGACCGTGCAGTCATCGAGCGGATATTGGCCAAGCTGGATGAACAAGAGGAGAAAAGGAAGAAGAGAAGCCAAAGCAAGGAAGAGGAGCAGCAGGATGACGAGGTACGTATCCTTTTGATGTTTCGTTTATGAAATTAAGACTGTTTTCAAGTGTTCGCAGGGCTGGGTACATTTGGTGAAATTAATCATAAAGCTTCGCAGGGCGACGAGATCCAGTGGGCCGAGCTGTGCGACGATCCTGCTACTGCAGCCTGCAGAGAGCTCTTGGAAAGGATGGATGAGGCAGAAGAGAAGGAGGACACAAACGGCATCAGTGATGTTTGTGCTCTTTCGTTTTTTTTGCAAAGCTCGGAAAACAGAATCAAACGACTCGGCAGGAGGCTCACGAGCACAAGGACGACGAGGAAGCAAAGCCGGCTGCAGCTTTGGGCGAAGAGGCGGCTCGAGCATCAAGAGCCTTCCTGTCATCCTCTTCGGTATCGTTGCCAAACACGTTGGTGGCTTCAATGCCTGTCCCTCCCGAGTGCTCCATTCACCAGACCGTACACTGCGATGGAACGTTACCACACTTTCAAGGACGTTTGTTCAACAACCGTTGCTTTGAAGGCAAGTGGCTGGGATTGAATTCATTCATTTTCTCTTTCGTCGCTGATTATTATTCTACCACGGGTTCGTTGGCTCAACCGACATTCCTGTTAGCAAAGGTCTTCGCATGCAGCCTCGTACAATCCTAATGTGGATCCGGAGATGCTTGACAGACGAAAGACGACATTGAAAAGTGTACAGGCGAAGGAACGCTCACGCGCTCAAGCCTACTATATGGTCTGGGCTTGGCTTAGCAGAGCCGTAGAATCGGGCCGCCCTGCGAAGCGGCAGAGGGTCTAAGCCACATGTGATTTCCATGCCTGAAGCACTGAAGTAAGCAAAGTGTCCTCGCAGAGCATCTAGCCGAAGAACACAGGGCATCACATGTGAGCAAGGGTGTGTGTCACTGGGAGAGCACCGGTGCACTGGGGCGAAAACAAAGCATCGAGCGAGCACCATGGCAAGTTGGAAGCACCCACTTCGAGGCAGCATGTATTCCGAGACCCTTGAATTAACGCGCGCATAAGCGAAACTTTGGATAGGGATACCCCGATGTAATTCCCCTCAACATGAAGCCCAGCAAGGTAGGGATATCTTTGTAAATCTTATGTCCGTTTTGGGGCACCTAAAGCCCGGCACCCCTAAACCTCTCGTGCTTTCGCCAAAGTGGGGACCCGAACTAGCTGACCCAGTGCTCTTCCAGGGATACATGGGTAGTTGTCACAATTGTGGTCCCGTTTTGGGTACCCTAAATATTAGGTGCCGTATTTATTAAGGACCCAAAACGGGACCCTAACTTTGACAACCGCCCACATGAAAGTGACCCCTAGAACCTACCTGGACCCTAAGGAACCTACCTTTTTAGGGTTCCCTAATATGATTTCTTTATATAAGTCCTGAAAAAGGTAGGTTACTTGGGGTTAAGGTATACATTAAGGGCTTAAAGGCTCAGGGTTTAGGACTTCACAAGTTTAAGGGTTTAGGAATTGAGGCTTAAGGTCTAGATTAGTAATACTTAATACTAAACCCCAGACCCCAAATTAAGGTCTTGTGCTTGGCCTTAAATTTCCCGTCTTGGGTCCCTTTCAAAGCAGAGCAGTACGGACCCTGAAGCCTCATCTAACAGAGCGGCTCGGGCTTTGCAGGGATATCACACTTTAGTTTAGGGTTTTGGGTTTAGGTTTAGGGTTTAGGGGTTTTAGGGTTTAGGGTTGCTGCTGATGGACAAAATCCTGCAAGACCCCTTAAAAGGAATATACCATAGTTCCCATAGAGAGTCCTTAGGGTCATGCAGGATTTCGTCCATCAGCAGTATCACACTTTAGATTAGGGTTTTGGGTTTAGGTAAGACTTCACTTTACTTAGAGGATCATGGGACTTAGAAAGCAGGTTATAATTGGGGTTATAAGTTCCCTAAGTGGGGTTATCCTAATTAAAAGCTACTTATAACATTACTTACTAAGTCCCATGAGCCTTTAAGTAATGACTGTAAGGCTTCGGAATAGCATTAGTGGGTGCAGTATCCTGCCTCGTACATGTTGTGTTGCAGCTTAGAACCCCTGGATTTGTTCGGCCAACGGCGTTCTTGCCTAAACGCTGAATCCGACAACCTCTTGCCGGTCCCAGAACTGCTGTTCTTTGGAGACGGGCCTCTGAAAGGGGCGCGGCCGGTCCTCAGTGGAATAAGTGGTCCTGACGTGGCCAGGGCGTTCCGACAGCCACTTGGAGGTGTCGTCCAGGTAGAGGTCGACCATCGTCGCCAGGGAGGGTGTAGGTCACTGCCGAAGATGTCATTGGACATATGGAAATCTGAAAACACCAATACAATTCTTTGGGTTCTGACATTTTTCTGCTAAACTATTCCCTGGAACCCACTTCGAGTCATTATCATTAAGGGCCACATACTAAGCCCTTGCGATAGCAACCGTTTTCAGAGCCCTGAAAGAAGGTCTCCAATGAAGACCATTTGGGTGGTTGTCACAATCGTGGTCCCTTTTTGGGTACCCTAAATATGAGGTGCCGTATTATACGTAATAAGGACCCAAAAAGGGACCCTAATTTTGACAATCACCCATTTTAATCATAAGTGCCACTCCTAAACCCTAAACCCTAAACCCTAAACCCTAAACCCTAAACCCTAAACCCTAAACCAATCTATCCCGAAGCTTGAACTGAATCCACTTCCGAAGATTGACGCCTGCCTGGACCCTAAGGAACCTACCTTTTTAGGGCTTCCTAATATGATTTCTTTATATAAATCCTTAAAAAGGTAGGTTCCTTAGTGTCCAGGTACACCTTCGACCTTGAATATATAATATTTCTTGACACTCTGGACATTTCGGGATGCTTTTCACAAGTTGTAACTATTTTGACCCTGACAAGAACCAGGAAACCCAAGCTAAGATTAAAGACAAGATCCTACGGTCCTAGAAGAGCCTCAAACAATATATAAACCCTAGGCTCTTGACCTAACCTCTTACGCCCTGAACCACTGCGCCCCGAACCCTGAACCCTAAAACCCCGAACCCTAAACCCCAAAACATAAACTCTCAACCCTACACCGTCCCCCGGTGGGTGCAGAGTCGTGAGGTTCTTCTCCCACGATCCGTCGAGTGCGGTCACCTCTTATCTCAAAGGTTAGAGCTTGGAGTTTCCGGTTTTTGGTTCATGGCTTTATGAGGTTGGACAGGCATAGATTTTGGAGCTTAGCTTATCTTCCCAAGTCCCCAAAACCTGTGTGAGTTTCGGGATATCATGCATCATCAGTGCTTTGAGGATCATGGGACTCAGTAAGTAGGTTATGATTGGGATTCTACGTCCCCTAAGGGGGGGCTATCCTAATCATAAACTACTTACAACCTTACTTGCTAAGTCCCATGCCGCCTTTAAGCAAACTCTAGACCAACAGACCGAAAGGGAAGACCCCAGGAGGGTTGCCAGCCTCGGCGTGGAAAAACCGAAACCCTAAACCCTAAGCCCCAAGGCCCTCATCGTCAATTCTGACTCTTTTGCTGCTTCTTTTCAATACTGAGGGTACCTTGCTCAAGCGTCCTCGTACTCTAGTACTCCGAAGGCAAACACCTCCCACATCTCTCGAGTCATCGGCTAGCAACTTCCATTTTTTCCGACACTCTGGTTGCCTGTGGGACAAGACATAAGGCGGGCACTGCACAGGTTCTAAACACAGCTGCAGAATTTGCAGCAATGCTGAGTTTTCCCACAAATCCTGTCTGTCCTCTACTTTCTACTTGTATCCTTGGTGATGGCAGATGCACAACCCTAAATCCTAAACTCTGAGGCCACCGTCATGTCCTGTCCGAGCAGATGGACTTCGCAATTGAAGCTCTCAGCTCATGTCCAGCAACCCTACATCCTAACCCCCTAAACCCTGATAGTACCCTTGTAGGAGCCCTTCAAGGAACAATCACAGCACCATCGGAAGCAACATCCGACATTCCTAGATTCCTACTATTGGTGGTCGATTTTCAAGTCCTTCTTTTCATTCCAAAGTTTCCAGTTTTGGAAAGCCGAAGCCGTAAACCCGGGCCTCAAATGCTCAGATTCCCTTTGAGGGGTTCTTTCTGGCTGACTAGATGGTTCTATGATATGGGTGGTTGTCAAAATTACAGTCCCTTTTTGGGTCCCTAACATCTAGAGTACCCAAACAGGGACCATAATTTTGACAAGCCACCCACATCGGTAAGTTCATTCAAAACCGAGTTCTCTGATTTCGGTGGTTCAGGCCTGGCCTGGGCCACCGGTATACCTTACAGTAGAAGCCAGAAAGTTGGAATATCATTATCGTAACCCCTTTAAGGTAAATTATAGGGGATCCTACCATTAATCCATATTCCAACTTTCTGGAGTTCCCTTTAGAAGGTGCCCCCCACCCTGTAATAGTGACTGTAAGGGTTATCTTTTGGGCCCGATTATATATTCCCTATAAAACCACTATTACAGGGTGGGGGCCCCTTCTAAGCAATACCGGGTTCAGCAGTCTTGTCTTGACGGTTGAAAAGCGTGCAATATAGGAGCCTAAATAATTAGAGTAGGGTTTGGGGATATACTATACTAGAATCATAATAAGGAACCCCCCACAATAGTGCTGGTCATTATTTTAGGATCCTCCTATAGTATAGCAATACCTCCAATGGATGAACCTGCTGACTCCCAAGGCTAAATCCGAAACTTCCCCGCGCACACCCTGAAGGGCTAATGTAGGAACCTGATTAAGAAACCTTGGGCCTTTATTACGGCTCCTTTTTTGGATCCGACTGTTTTGGTGTTATAGGCCCAGGTTTCTGAATCAGGTTCCTACATTACACCGCACTCTGCCTGCACAGCATAGGAGTGAGCCGTAAGGTCGGAGAAGAAGATCTTCTTCACCTGGGAGAAAACCAAAGGAAGTGTTGCTGGACGAGGCTGCGGCACCTTAACATGTGTACATATACCTTTATAAGAAAATGCCTGTGAATGTAAATATTTATTTACACAAATATATATATATATATATATGAACAAATAAATAAATAAATAAATAAATATGTGTGTACATATATAATGCAATATCTAACGTAGATCTACAAACATACTACACACACTTATTCATTTGCATGTATGTAAGTACGTATGTATGTACGTACGAATGAATGTATGCATGTATGTATCTATGTGTGTGTTTGTACATGTGGTTGTATATGTGTATGTGTGTATGCCTATGTACATATGTGAGTTTGGATGCCTCTGTATGTGTATGTCTCTGTGTGCATATGCCTGAGTTGTACGTCTGTATGTATGGATGGCTGTATATGCGCATGTATGCACCTACGCATGTATAGATGCATATACGTATTTTGGTACGCCCGCAGGCTGCAAAGCTCCATGTGCCTTCGCCGAGCAAAGTACCATCCAACACAAGGTGAGTTGATAGCGGCTCTCTGCGCATTTCAGGCTTTAAAGGGTCTTGAAAACAAAAACCACTTGACGCACATTCTGGTCCCACTGGACCCACTGCCTAAAACCCACGTTGGCAACAGTAC